AAAAAAAAAAAAAAAGAAATTTACTAGTTGCTTTGCTAATGTTGCTAAATAAATAAAATGTGTTTCAGGCATTTCTTATCTTGGAGAACCCTGAAGAACCTTACTTGGAGGGAATTAGCTATAACTGCGTAGCACCAGGGAAACGATTTATGCCAATGGACAATTTGTCAGGGGGAGAAAAGTGTGTGGCAGCTTTGGCTCTCCTGTTTGCTGTGCACAGGTAAGGTCACAACAAGCTACTCAGTTTTGTATCAGGGCAGAAACCAAGCAGACCATCTTATAGAAGACTTATTAACTGTTTGTCTTCATTAATATTTACTAATGTGATACAAAACTGTTTTCTTCAGCCAGACAATTCATTATGCTTTAGGCCCGCAACAATGTAGACAGCAAATCTGAGAGAGAGTTCAGTCTTTGACAGATTTTTATTCAGTTTCTGTTATCGGTAGCTGTTATATTCCAGCTTTTTAGAAAGGAAAGAAAAAAATATATTTGGAATGGCCAAGCGTACGTCAGGATTGCCAAGGAACAAAAACAACAACAAACAAAAAATCCAACCTGTACATTATTTCCCTAGTCCATAATCAGAGATCTGCTATTTAGTAAAGAATGGTAAGCTAAGCATTTCTTTTAAAAAGNTGTCCATCATTGAATCCTCAGTGTCTAATCCATAGTAGATGATCAATATTTTTAACCAAAGTGTAAATAAAGGTGATATAGAAATTGGTGCTTTTTACCAGATTAAAAATAAGGAGGTAAAGTGTGTTCCAAGAGAGCAGCATAGGCAACACTAGAGCCACGAAAGAGCACAGCCGACTCAGGAAGCTGCAGACAATGTGGTGCTGTGGTGCGACTGCAGCTCCAGGCTCAGAGGGGGCTTTGGGGAGGGTGGGGCGCAGAGGGAACTGGTGGGGTCAGATGGCAAAGGGCCCTGCATGTGTGCCTTACCTTAGCAATCTGGATGAAAAGCCATGACAATCAGTGTTGTTCTTTGCCAATAATAGGCTCTACAATCCAATGAAGAAGTCCAGGACCACCTTAGATTCCTACTGCAGCAAATAGCATCCCAGGAAGATGTTCTGTGCAAGAGAGCAGCTCCATACCAACGAGCCCAGGAGAACTTGAAGACTCTCAGACACAAGTTTCAAGAATGCACAGATGGTGAAATTGAGTTTAGTTGTTAATAAGATCATATTCATGGGTGTTTTGATTCCTTTAACACTTGACGACAATCCCCCCAGATTGTACCTTTCTCTTTTTTATTCTATATACTTACCTCTGTGGTCTTAATGTGTGCTTTTAATGCTGAATCACTAATTGCTTGCTTTTTGAAAAAGTGCTTAATTTAAAACACGTTTATTGGTTATTTTAGAACAGATAATTATATTTTTATACCAGTAAAATAGGTTTCTTATATACTTGTTAGAACTTGCCAATATTATTTAGAAATTATCCCTATTAGAAAAAGTGCTCATCAATTGTAAAAGCCATGCTCCTGAAATTAATTATAATTGAGGTATGTTGAAGGTAGATTTACTCGAGACAAGCAAATTCGAAATCCAATTTTAAAACTATTTTATGCTTTAAAGTTTAAATAAGAGAAACCCCTCAGTGGTTTCCAAAATAAAAGAACACTGATTTTTTCTTAGCTTTTGAGGCCATCACAAAGGAAGCCAGAATGCGTAGGCAGGAGTTTGAACAGGTGAAAAAAAGGAGATACGATCTTTTCAGCCGGTGTTTTGAGCACGTGTCAACCTCAGTTGATCAAGTCTACAAGAAGCTCTGTGGAAACAACAGTGCACAAGTATGTATTTTTCACCCCAAATACTAGTGGGAATTATATTATTGATAGTGGCTTTTTTCTGGTGGGAAAGAAATAAACACTGCCACATTATTTGAGTGACTTGCTTATGGGGCATAGTCAGTTCATGAAGATTGGTTCTCTAATGACCTGTTTTTAGATCCCATTCACTCTACACTGGCTAGCCTGGACAAAACTTCTCTGGGCCTGTTTCTTCATCTAAAAAACTGAGTCGGTTAGATCATTTGGTTTCCATGTTCTCTTGAGTTCTGAAATGCTGTTGTCTGGTACTAATTTGATTTTAAAGAACTGTAGTCTCTATGATAAAGGTGGGGTCATGTAGAAGACTTTGGGAAAACAGTAGATTTGTGAAGTCGAACAGAGTAACAAGTGAGAGGGAAAGAACTAAAGTTAGGATTCAAATCCAGATATGTCCCTTTTAATGACAGCCTCTCCGCTGTAACCACCCATTGCATTATAAATATCCATAGCAAATACTTAGGGAATTGAGTGTGAAATAAAGATGCTGGTCAGGACTTATGTACCTGCTCTGCTTTTGTTTTCTCATGTGTTTTGTTTGTTTGTTTGTTTGTTGTTCTTTATTACTGAGAGCTGGTCCTGGATCAAATATTTCGAATGTGAACTGAAAATAACATACTAATTTTCAGTAAAGTAGGATTAAAATAAACCCACTAACTCCTTGAGAACAGCAGTTATGTCTTTATTTACAGTGCCTGGCCCACAACAGATGTTCAGTAAGTGTTTGATGAATAGACCAGTGAGTAAACTGAATGAAGACTGTTTTTGTAAGACAATGGCAGATGTTTCCCTTCTTCCCTCTACTCAGACAACCCTGTTGCCTGTGATTACATGTAGAACTAAATATATTACTTACAGGCATTGGTATGTTTCCATTAAAATTGAGGAAAACCTAAACAATAGAATATTTTGCATTTAAACTCTGTGGCAACCCCAAGTCGAAATTTACTAGTTGCTTTGCTAATGTTGCTACATAAATAAAATGTGTTTCAGGCATTTCTTATGGCGGAGAACTCTGAAGAACCTTACTTGGAGGGAATTAGCTATAGCTGCGTGGCCCCAGGGAAACGGTTTATGCTGATGGACGATTTGTCACGGGGAGAAAAGTGCGTGGCAGCTTTGGCTCTCCTGTTTGCTGTGCACAGGTAAGGTCACAACGAGCTACTCAGTTTTGTATCAGGGCAGAAACCAAGCAGACCGTCCTATAGAAGACTTATTAACTGTTTGTCTTCATTAATATTTACCAATGTGATACAAAACTGTTTTCTTCAGCCAGACAATTCAAGTTATGCTTTAGGCCTGCAACAATGTAGACAGCAAATCTAAGAGAGAGTTCAGTCTTTGACAGATTTTTATTCAGTTTCTGTTATCAGTAGCTGTTATATTCCAGCTTTTTAGACAGGAAAGAAAAAAATATATATTTGGAATGGCCAAATGTACATCAGGATTGCCAAGAAATAAAAACAACAACAAACAAAAAATCCAACCTGTACATTATTTCCCTAGTCCATATTCAGAGATCTGCTATTTAGTAAAGAATGGTAAGCTAAGCATTTCTTTTAAAAAGTATTTAACCTCCTTATTTCCACTGGTGATGGTGGCACTGTTTCTTTGTGAAATAAATCAAGAAACAATAAGTTAACTATAATTAAGACAAATAATAGCTTTCAGCATTCACAGCATTAGATGAAAATCTGAGTTGTAGATGATGCTGACTCTCTCTTTCCACGACCAGGAAAATAAACATACAGGAGTGTGACAACCATTATTCATGGGTCTGAAGAAGGAAAATGAATAGGTCACCACAGGAACGGGAGAGTAGACCATTATGGCAGGAGGACTCTGGGAGAGCAGGAGGACGGTTCTGAACAAGGAATCTTAGCAAAATAATACCGTCACGATGTGGCGCCCACATCCATTTATTCGACAATATTTACTAACTGTTTACTGTGCGCCAGGTGCTATTGCAGACAGTGGGGAGACAGCTGTGAACAAAACGAAATGTCTGCTTCAAGGATACTTCATTTTAGTTGGGGAAGACAGATAATAAATAACGTATATTATTAAACTAATTCTCTAATATAGAGAATACTAGAAAATCACAAATCTATAGAGGAAAATAAACAGTATGGAATGGAGATAATGAGTAGCAGAGAAGGGTTTGTGGTATTAAACAGTCGCAGGGAAGGCCTGGTTGAGAAGGTAATGTTTGAACAATGATGTGAAGGACTTGCAGGAGCAAGTCGTAGATAAGGGAAGAATGTTCTAGATGTGAGGAGCAGCAAGTGCCAAGGCCCTGAGGGCATAGTGAGCCTGGCATGTGTAAAGAATAGATTTTTTGCAGCAGTGGCAGACACAGGGATTGAAAACTATTGTGACAATCAGGGTGAAAGATGGTGTCGGGCTGGACCAGGATGAGAACAGAAGTTGGAGTGGGCACAGTTTGCGAACAGACAGGCTGTGGAATGTGAAGAAAGACTCAGATGACGCCATGCATTTTGGCCTAATCAGCTAGAGTACTATGAGCTGCCATTAACAGGCAGCTCCCCACAAGAGGGAGTAGGTTTGGAAGGGCAGGTAAGGAGTTTGATTTTGGATGAGTGTGAGATGCTTGTTAGACCCCTACGTGGAATTGTTGAGTAAGCAGTTGGACATGTGAGGCAAGAGTTCAGAACGATTGGTAGGAGTATTGGGAGCTGTCAGGATTTGGATGGTGTTTAAAACTTTGAGACCAGATGAAATCACTGAGGGAGCTAATTAGATACAGGAGAGTGCTAAACCCTGACCCTGAGGGCATGGCCATGTTCAAGGTCATAGAGATGACGTGTTAGCAGAAGAGATGCAGAGGGAGCAGTGGGTGAGGGCAGTAGACTGTGTCGTCCTAGTGTTTCAAGGAGGGGGATGACTGAGTACTCCTTGCATAGGTCACACAGGATGAGCACTGGATTTAGCAGCATAAAGGTCATTGATTACCTAGACAAAAGATTGATTACCCAGACAAAAGTATCCAAGAGGATGCATCTTATTTACTCTGAATAATGTTAATGCTTTCCTTCAAGTCTTTTGTAAAACAAATAGAAAATTGTAACTTACTTTACTGTAATGTTTTTCTAGTTTTCAGCCTGCTCCATTGTTTGTTTTAAATGAAGTGGATGCAGCTCTGGACAATACTAACATTGGCAAAGTAAGTTTCTTTCTGCTTTTAATTTTCAAAGGAATATCTATAATGGCAGTCAGAAGGCAGTTTCCCCTGAACCAACAGGGTTCTGGGGCAAGCAATGGTAATTGCTGAATAAAAATCAATACGTTACAAATCTAAGTTAAGTATCTCAAAACAGGATGATTCAGTTTTCATTCTAGGTTTAGGTGACCCTCAGGAGTAGAAAGGAAATCCAAACAGGGGTCAAATGAGGATCACTGTGCTTTATCAACAGCTTTACTACCACCATAACTTGCTTCTCATAATCTAGATATTGGGAATTAGAGGGCAACTAATAGCAGTCCACAGGTTTATTTGGTTTCATGGATCAAATTAGCTGTTTAATAAAGTCTGTGAATAATATCTCCAAATCAAATTCTGCCTCCCCAGTTTTACCAAGATTCACTTGGGCGTGATCCTGTTTTTAGTATTTGAGAGAATGAGCGAGCTAAGGTAACAGTTTAACTTGTAAGTTAAGTTTTAGGCAGCATTCGAAGATCGGTGGGTAGATTGTACAGAGCCACCTAAGGACCCAGGCTCACAGCTCACACAGCTTGAGTGTAATTAGATTGAATTTGGGATAGGAGAATGGGGTCAGCCATGGAACATGAACAAAGGACAAAGGCAAACCCTGGCAGTGCCCATCACCGCCCAAGTCAGGGACAGCTCCAGCCTGCAGAGGTGTGGTATCATGGTCCTCCTGCCATTGGAGGTGGATGAATTACACTCTCCTGGTTCTGATTCTGGGCACATCTACCTTCCAGAAATGACTGGGCTTTGCATTTATGGCTGCTTACTAGAAGGCTGTTCTAAGGTCATGCTGACAGATACAGTTCTCATTACTTACTCGTAAATTGGCGTTCTGGTTTATAATCTAGTTTTGTGAGCTTGGCTGAGCCTACCCCTGAGAGATGTTTTTAGTCGTAGGCTGCTGCCCAGTAGGTTGTGGGCCTCTGAAGCTGACCACCCTGATTTCTTACTCTGTTGAGTCTCTCCTGAGATGCCTGGGTGAGTCAGGGGGAGTTGCAGAGCTGCAGCATGAGATACCTTCTTATGGCATGTATTCATCTAACCCAAATCTTTCTGGGGCCCTCCTTTTTTTTTGTCTTTTTTTGTGACCGGTAAGGGGATCGCAACCCTTGGCTTGGTGTCGCCCGCAGCGCGCTCAGCCAGTGAGCGCACCAGCCAGCCCTATATAGGATTCAAACCCACGGCGGGAGTGCAGCTGCGCACCCAAGCACCGCACTCTCCCGAGTGTGCCACGGGGCCGGGCCAGGGACCCTCGTTTTTTAATATGGCACAGGATACACAAGAACATCACATCAGCTCCATACCACACAAAAAAGTCTGTGCCAGAAACTTCATGTTGACTGGGGGAAGAAGAAAACATAGGAGCGAGAGAAAGTCCTGATTTGTCTCTCTTGAATGACAGGAGTCTACATCAGCTGACTGGACTCCATGGTCTGACCCATTTGGGAGAAATCTCCCCTTAGGAGGATAATTTTGGTACTTCGTATCCCATATTCTGTGAGGCAGGAATTCATTGTGGACTGCTGCTTTTTTTTGGTTGCATTCAAGGTATTGACATCTTCTAGCAAAATTTAGATGCTCGCATTGGTGGCATCTCCACGGACTAGGCCTTACTTAAGACTCCCATTAGCACCTATCCTACGTTTTAAAACCTTTTAATTTCCATTATCCCTTTGAGATTTATGATCCTGTAACTCCATTGCTGAATTGAATGTGAGCACTTATGTACTATGAGCAACTATGAAGCAGCCTCCACTCCTCCTTGTGATCAGGGTGCCCAACATTTATAATAGGTAACTCTCCAAGCAAAATGCATGCCGTACAGCTTTGCATCCTATCTCCTCTTCTTTTCCTATCACTATCCCAAGACTTTTAGTCCTGCATCATAGTAGCTACAATTAGTTAGTTGCCTCTAATTCCTTCTATGAATTCAGCCTCTTAGCTAAGAGCAGAGCAGTTTCCTTCCTCCCTCATCATTCACCGTACGTAGCTGGTGACTCATTCCTCAAATGAAGCTGCCGTTCCTGCTTCCAAAGCTTGTTTCCATAGTGTCTTGGGTGCAGCCATTGCCAGAGATCTAAGGAGTTGGCAAGTATCTTGTTAGACTCTTGCTACTTTGAGTATAAGTTCTTCTCTGTCATACTCCAAGCTGTGACTAGTTTGTTCACCAAGACTCATTTCTATCCAGAGTATTTTGCTCATATTCACATTTCCTTTGGAATTGAACTTCCTGAAGGAGCCCGAGATCACCTCTAACCAAATAACTGGATTATGGATTACGAATACATATTTAATTGCCATGTATTTCCCATCTTCAGGGCTTGAATTGGCAAAATAGGAAGCTGGAAGTTTAAATACCAGTCCTTGTTCACTCATAAAATATCAGAGTGACAGTTACCTTGTTATAAAGGCTGATTGCACATTCAGATGATATTATCTCAAGTTGGAGCTGTATTCTTTAAAGTTTTTTTTTTTGTTTTTTTTTTTTGTTTTGTTTTGCTTTTCATTTACTTCTGGGTTCCTTTTTTTAATTGGTTATGAATATTCATGAGATACAAAGCTGATTGTCACCGCAACTCTCATGCCCATGATGTGAGGGCCAGATTCACACTGGCAGCTTACGCATTAGCACAAACTGCATTTGCACCCCATGTCACCCACCCAACCATCCCCAACCTCCGTCCCCCTCCCCCTTCCCCCCCACTCCACTTTGTAGCCCAAGAAATGTTCTCTTCCTCTGCAAGTCCAACACACCACTGTGATCTTTCTTTCCTTACCTCTTTCTCTCTTAGGTCCCACATTTGAGTGAGTGCATGTGGTATTTAACCCTATGTGCTTTGCTTATTTCATTCAAAATAAGTTTCTCTAGGTTCATCAGTGTTGTTGCAAATGGGAGCATTTTATTCTTTTGTACGGCAGAGTAGTATCCCATGGTGTATATATACCACAGCTTCCCTATCCAGGCATCCATTGATGGACATTTAGGTTGGTTCCATGTCTTGGCTATTGGAAACAGATCTGCAATGAACATGGGAGTGCAGGTATCCCTTCGACATGATGATTTCCATTCCTCTGGGTATATACTCAGAAGTGGGATTGCTAGATCATATGGAAGGTCTATCTGGAGCTGTCTGAGAAACATCCATTCTGTTTTCCATAGTGGTTGTACTAATTTACAGTAACAGCAACAGTGTAGGAGTGTTCCCTTCTCTCCACACCCTCGACAACATTTGTTATTCACCAACATTTTGATTATAGCCAGTCTAACTGGGGTGAGGTGGTATCTAAATGTAGTTTGAATTTGCATTTCACTGATGATTAGTGATGTTGAGCATTTTTTCAAGTACACGTTGGCTGTTTGTATGTCTTCCCTTGAAAATTGTCTATTCAGCTCCTTTGCCCATTTTGTAATTGGATTATTTGTTTTTTCACTATATAATTGTTTGAGTTCCTTGTATAATACGGATATTAATCCCTTGTCATATGCATAGTTAGCAAAAATTTTCTCCCACTCTGTAGGTTATTGTTTCACTCTGTTGATTGTTTCCTTTTGCTGTGCAGAAGCTTTTTAGTTTGATAAAGTCCCATTTGTTTATTTTTTCTTTCGCTGCTTGTGCTTTAGGACGCAAGTTCAAAAGTCTGTGCCCAGACCTAGTTGCTGAATTGTTTCACTTATATTTTCCCTCAGGAATTCTACACTTTCAGGTCTCATTCAGAAGTCTTTGACTCATTTTGAGTTGATTTTAGTGTATGGTGAGAGAGATGCATATCTAGTTTCATTCTTTTGCATATGGATATCCAGTTTTCCCAGCACCAATTATTGAAGAGGCAGTCTTTTCCCCAATGTAGATTTTTGTTGCCTTTGTCCAATATCAGATTGCTGTAAGCCTGAGGGGTGATTTCTGGGTTCTCGATTCTACTCCACGGGTCTGAATATCTGTTTATATACCAGTACCATGCTGGATTGGTTACAATAGCTTTGTAGTATAATTTGAATTCAGGTAGTGTTATGCCTCCACCTTTATTTTTTTTTGCTCAGAATTGCTTTGGCTATTAGCGGTCCTTTGTTGTTCCATATGAAAGGTAAGGTTTTTTTTTCCATTTCTGTGAAGAATGCCATTGGTATTTTGATGGGGTTTTCACTGTATCTGTAGATCGCTTTGGGTAGTATAGACATTTTCATAATGTGAATTCTTCCAATCCAAAAGAATGGAATATCTTTCCAACTTTTTGTGTCTTCTTTAATTTCTTTCAGAAGTGGTTTGTAGTTCTCATTGTAGAGGTCTTTCACCTCACTGGTTAAATCGATCCCTCGGTATTTTATTATTTTCGTGACAATTGTAAATGGGCTTACATTCTTTATTTCTCTTTCTGTTAGTTCATTATTTGAGTATATAAATGCACCTGATTTGGGGGCATTTATTTTGTATCCTGCAACTTTACTGAAGTTATTTTCTAGCTCTTGGAGTTCAAAACACTGGAAACTATACAAATACTTGGAAATTATACAATGGGCTCCTGAACGACCTATGGGTCCAAGAAGAAATTAAACAGGAAATCAAAATATTTCTTGAAACTAATGAACATAACGATACATCATACCAAAACCTATGGGATACTGCAAAACCAATACTAAAAGACAAATTTATTACAATAAATGTTTTCATCAAAAGAATGGAAAGACTTCAAGTAAATGACCTAACACTATGCCTCAAAGAACTTGAAAAACAAAAACAATCCGAACCTAAACGTAGTAGACGGAAAGAAATGATTAAGATCAGAGTAGAACTAAATGAAATACAGACCCAAAAACCAATAGAAAAGATCAACAATACAAAAAGTTGGTTTTTCGAGAAGATAAATAAAATAGACAAACCATTACGTAGGTTAACAAAAAGAAGAAGAGAGCAGATCCAGATAACAAAAATCAGAAATGAAAAGGGAGACGTTACAACTGATACCACAGAAATATAAAGAATCATTAGAGACGATTATAAACAACTGTATGACAACAGATATGAAACTCTGAAAGATATGGATAAGTTTCTAGACACATACAAACTACCAAGATTGAACCAAGAAGAGATAGAAAACCTGAACAGACCAATAACAAGCAAGGAGGTTGACGCGGTAATTCACAATCTTCCATCAAGGAAATGTCCAGGTCCTGAAGGCTTTACAGCTGAATTCTATCAGTCTTTTAAAGAGGAGTTAATACCAATTCTCCTCAAACTATTCTAAACAATTGAAACAGAAGCTATTCTTCCAAACTCATTCTATGAGCCAAACGTAACTTGGATACTAAAACCAGATAAAGACACAACAAAAGAAGAAAATTGCCAGCTGATATCCTTGATGAACCTAGATGCAAAAATCCTCAACAAAATATTAGCAATCAGAATACAGCAAATATAAAAAAAATTATACACTCTGATCAAGTGGGATTCATCCCAGGGATGCAAGGATGATTCAACATATGAAAGTCAATAAATGTGATACTTCACATCAACAAACTCAAGGACAAAGAATGTATGATTATCTCAATAGATGCTGAAACAGCATTTGACAAAATTCAACATCCCTTCATGATAAAGACTCTCAACAAATTAGATATAGAAGGAAAATATCTCAACACAGTAAAAGCCATTTATGACAAGCCCACTGCTAGTATCATTCTGAATGGGGAAAAACTGAGAGCCTTTCCCTTAAAAACAGGAACAAGACAAGGATTCCCACTCTCACCACCTCTATTTAACCTAGTCCTGGAGGTACTAGCCAGAGCAATCAGGCAAGAAAGAGAAATAATGGGAATCCAGATAGGAAAAGACAAACTCAAACTTTCTCTATTTGCATGTGACATGATACTATATATAGAAAGCCCTATTCTTACAGTTTTAGATCACGGGTTTAATGAAGTTAATACATATATTTTTACTTACATCTTATATTTTAGAATCTTAGCTATTTCCATTTTTGCAACTCTGGTGGATTTAATTAATTACTAGAAAGGCAAGTGAGTGCCTTACCACCTAAAATGGGCAGACACAGAGACATGCAGGATCACTGTCCCCAAAGTCCAAACAAGGCTTTTCCTTGCTGATGAATTATATGACTTATTTCCACGCAGGTATCAAGTTACATCAAAGAGCAGAGTCAAGAACAGTTTCAGATGATAGTCATCTCCTCAAAAGAAGAGTTCTTTTCCAAAGCTGACTCAGTAATAGGCATCTGTCCAGAGGTAAAGATAAATTAAAGGGGCAGAGGAGAAACTGCTATAAACCCACTTAGTACCCCTACAGCTACAGGGCTTTCCTTTTATAACTAAAAGATCCAAATGATGTTTGTAGATACCGTCTGTCCTCTGTAGTAAAAAAATACAGGTTTACATAATTTTTTAATCAAATAAGACTTAAAAGTAACTATCCAGATATTTTCCTATGACAGTCAATGGAAATTTAAGATACATCTCAAGTGAAAGAAACAAATTGGAAATTATAGAACATTAATAGTTTTGTTTCATAAAATAGTAGTACATATTAACTTACACAGAGTAACCTGTTAATATTATATTTCATATTTCTGTCATGTTTGAATGTTTTAAGCAAAATAAATGCACTGTGGTAGAACAATGAACTATTTATCTTCCAAATGTATCAGAGGAAATAAAAAATTCACTAGAAGTTCCAGGTTGACGGTAACTTTTAGAATCTGAAAACACCATTTATTAAAAAAATTAACTTCTCAATATATATTGTAGTTACACTGTAGTTGGTTTTCCTGTCCCTTTACCCATTCCTCTTTCCCCCTTCCCTCTCTCCCCTCCCCCTCACTACATCACATCTTGAACACACCTTTCTTAAGCCATTCAGAATACCTATCTGAGCTAACTGAGCAGAGTGCCTAATTGAAGTCATTTGGTTTTGGGCAGGTGGGTTTACTTCCTGAGTTTTCCTTTAAGGTAAGATAAAAATTAATTTACAGAATGTTAGGGGACTACCTGGAAATATGCTGCATGAGAAATGGAAAATCTCACACCAGATAATATTTAAAAAAACAACTGACACAAAAATCACAATCCCTTGAACTTGTTAAGACAAGTGAACAGATATGATGTAGTGGGGGTGTAAGGGGAGGAGGGGAAAGAGGAACATGTAAAGGGTCATGAAAATCAACTACAATGTATATTGAGAAGTTAATATAACAAATAAAACTGACGTAAATGCAGATAATTGATAACTTTTTACGTAGAATGAAGTTCCTTTTTAATGCAAATCTAGACTCACTAATAGCTCTTATGTTACTTTAATAATACTTTTTCCCCAGTTAGGGGAACTGACTTTTAACTGTCTTTTCTCCATTTCAGTATGAGGACTGCATGTTCAGCCGAGTTTTGACCCTAGATCTTTCTCAGTATCCAGACACTGAAGACCAAGAGACCAGCAAGAGACATGGAGAGTCCCATGAGAAAGTAGAGTGCCCTTGAGCACCTGCCAGCTGGAAGAGCAAACAGGACAGTCCTGTAGTGGTCAGGTTAATCATTGTTTAGTTCCCACTCTAATACTCAAACAGCTATTGAATAACAAACTTCTGGAGCAAGCAGGACCAACCTAGTGTGCCGTTTAAGAAAACATCTTAGTTGATCTAGCTAGAGGCTGTGAGCTCACTTCATTTATGGAGTGTTCAGGCCCCACTGTAGTAGGGAAAGTTTTCTATGAGAGTTAACATGGGATGAGTTTAAATTAAAAAAAATAAAAAAAATAAAGAATTTTGAACCATAACTTTGACTTGTATTTTTGGAAAAAAGCTGGTCAAAAGAATTTTGAATCTGTATCATCTTCAGTCCGGTCTGGCTTTGCACCTGTAAGTAATCTTTAAGGGAAATTCTTCGTTTTTAAATGTACTAGTTATAGGGCAGTTAATAAGTTGTTGAACCTGGTTTTAGTTTTGTTTTATGGGTTTTCTTTTTAAATGATAAAGATTCAAAACAAGAGAAAATAAATTTCCCAGGCATCAAACCAAAATATACACGGAAGTAAAGAGACATGGAACACTTAAAAAGATAAGTCCCTTTGGACGACTGATTAGAGTCCGAATTATCTGTATTTATCATTGCTTCGTTGAAGGCTACCGAATCAAAAACATACTTCTTTCATCTCATTGTGCTCTAAGATCATGTCTCTTTTTATACCTTATATAATGCCTAGTGAATTAATTGATTTAAAAATTAATTATATGTTAATATACAGAATACCAGTGCAGTTCAACACACTCATATATGTTGAAAACCAAAAAATGGTGAATCTCAGTGCATCTCAAAGCTTAGAGCTGGAGCAGTAACATAATTTATATTTTCAGGGAAGGGTCATATTAGAGAGTCTGCATTGGCTCGTGACCATGTTTCCATTGAATGAATCAGTTGGCCCGGTGTCCCACTCCAGCCCAGCACTTGGAAAAGAAGTTGATGTATTTCAAGGGAGAAGTAGTAGTAGATGACTTTGATGGTAGTGCCAGCACTCAAAAAAAGAACAAAGGAGAAGGACAAACAGTGGCTTCTGCTACCTACAGTTCAGAAATTCACTCTCACTGTACTGGAGGCTCCCTCAGGGCAGGCACCAAGTCTTTTTCTGACTTAACCTAGTTCTTAGGCACAGAGTGCATTCTAGTTGCTTGCAATAGTGCTGTTCAAAAGTGACCTGGGGTGACCACGCGGTCTCCCCTGGCGCCGGCGATGTCCCAAGCCAAGGCAACTGCATACAGACACCGTCTCCGCGGGTCCTGTCTCCCCAACGCCACGGGTGGCGGGGCTGGGCGCGGGTGGACGCAGAAGCGCGGCTCCTCTGCCCAGGCCCCTGGCTTCCTTTTCGGCGCGCCCGGGCGGGTGGAGAGGCAGCTTTCTGCAGCTAGCCCAAGCTCGGCGCCCTTCCCGCCCGCGGCCTCCTAGTCCC